GAATAACAGCTGATTTCTCAATGGAAACTGTAAAGGCCAGGAAAGCCTGGAGCAATGCATTCCACGCTCTAAGGTAGCACAGACACCAACCCAGACAACAAGCCCTGGTAAACTATCAGGCATAGTTGATGGAACAGGGAAAACTTCCCACAATATAAACAGACTAAAATAATTCACACCCATAAAACCAGTCCAACAGAGGATACAGAAACTATACTTTGGACCGATGGGAAGTCTAGCATAGCCAAGAAGCTATGGATAAAAAACAAATGAAACTGTAAATACTGAAATATGAAATAGAATAAGAACACAAACTGCAAGATAACGGTAATCAACACAGACCTTTCAATGGGTATTAAATACTATGGCCTCAGTAGGTTAGCTGAACAAATTAAGAAACAAAACCCAGGGGCTAGAGAGATGGCTCAGCAGTTAAGACCATGTGCTGCTCTTCCAGAGGACCTGAGTTCAATTCCCAGCATCCACATGGCAGCTCATGACTGTCTTCAACTCTAGTTCTAGAGATGCAAAGTTTTACTCTTCTTAATCTTTGGCCTTTGTGAGGGGACTATCACACAGCTCCCAAACAAATCACAAATGGTATCTTATTATTGCTTGTGAATGCCATGACCTTAGCTTGGTTTGTTACTACCCAGCTGTTTCTTTTTTAATTATTATTTTTTTCTTATTTTACATATTGATCCCAGTTCTCTTTCCCACCCATCCTCCCATGCCCTCCTCTGACTCCCCTATCCCATCCCCCATCCACTCTCCATGGAGGGTGATTCCTTCCAGGAGGGATCATCAGAATCTGTCAAGTCATTTGGGGTAGGGAGTATGCCCTTCCTCATGCCTCTAGGGTAAGGAAGTATCCTTCCATGGGGAATGTGCTCCCAAAGTCCTTTTGTGCACCAGGGACACATCCTGGTTCCACTGTCAGAGGTTCCTTAGACTGCCCAGGCCTTCTAACTGACCCGAGTTCAGGGGCTCTGGGTCGGTCTTGTGATGGTTTCCCAGCTATCAGTAGGGGGCCATGAGCTCCCCCTTGTCCAGGTCAGCTATCTCTGCAGCTTTTCTTAAATTATCCATTTACCTTTTGTCACTGGGCTTTTATCTCTTTCTTCTGTATATCTTACTTTCACTCTTACTCTGTGGCTGGGTGGCTGGGCGGGTGGCTGGGCGGGTGGCTGGGCGGGTGCCTGGGCGGGTGGCCCCTGACATGGTCCTCACCTTACTCTCTTCTTCCTTCCTCTTTTCTACTTCTATTTATACTGTCTGCCTGCCAGCCCAGCCTATCCTTGTTCCGGCCTCGCTATTGGCCGATCAGGTCTTTATTAGGACCATCAGATGTTTTGCACAAGCAAAGTAACACAGATTCCAGAGTTAAACAAATGTAGCACAAACAAAAGTCACACACCTTAAAATAATATTCTGCCGCAGAATCCAACACCCTTTTCTGGCTTCCACAGGCACCAGGCACACAGGTGCTACACAAACATATATGCAGGCAAAACACTCATGCACATAAAGTAAATAAATTTACCTTTTTAAAATCTATCTTTTTGTTGACTTTAATAAGTTAGTTTATTATTTTGTTGATAAATAATAAAACTTGGCACCTTCAAAATATGTACCACCTTATACTAAAGTGATAAAAAAAAAAATGTATTCCAAGTAGCTAGAACCAGGATGTCACCATCCTAATATCTGATAAAAATAGGCTTCAAACTAAAACTAATCAGAAGAGATAAATAAGGACACTCCACTCTAACCAAAAGAACAATGAACTAAGATGTCATTACGATCTTAAGTCTACCTGCATCAAACTCTGGCACTCCCCATTCATAAAAAGTATACTGCTGGACTTCAAAACACAGATTAACACCAACTTAGTAATTGGTTTCAGTACTCCACTTCCTCCAATACACAGATTATCTGAACCAAAAAAAATTAACAGGGGGAAAAAAACAGAATTAAGTGAATTTATAGATCTGCTAAGTACCTGTGCTCAAACAACAAAGCACACACACTCTACAACAGCCCCTGAAGATCCGTCAAAAAGGACCTCACTCTGGGACACAAAGCAAAGCTCAGCAAATACAAAAACAATCTCAAATAACTCTGTGCACCCTTTCTGACTGCAATACAGCGTGGTGTAAGATCAGCTGGGCACTCTCTAGCAACTACACAATTCGTGGAGATTAAAGAACACGTTACTGAACAATGAATGTGTCAAAGAAGAAACTAAAGTATTACAGAAACTAGACACAAACGAAATCACACACAACAAAATCTCTGAGGAAATTCGAGTGCATGTAGCTACTGTTGTCCAATGTTTGACAAAGACAGCATCTTCAACAAATGACTGGGAAAAGTGGGTTTCCGCGGTGAATAGAACAAATTCAGACCCATGTCTTTCAACCTGTGCAAAAGTAAACTATAGCACAATAAGTAAGAGACCCAGAGACAGATATTGGGGTCCAAGCTTCAAGCTGAAGACCAGAGAAGCAAAGCAGCCAGCCACTAGCTCTCACCTCTACCTCAGCTCAGACCAAAGGGGTGATCCTTAGACAGCTCCCAACTTCACTGCTCTTCACATTCACTCACACTGCTATGCTCTCCTCAATGTGGTTAGAGACTCATTCCCAGACTGAATGCCAGCTCTGAGACCCTTCTCCTGTCTTCTATACCTCTCCAATGCTGGAATTAAAGGCCTGTGATTGCAGGTCCTGAGATCACCTTTGTGTGAGCTGTTTCTTGTAGGACTAAGTCAATTTTGTGTAGTCAGTGTGGCCTTGAACTAACAGAGATCCTTCTACCTCTTAGTCCTAAATCCTGGAATTAAAGGTTGTGCTTTCTGAATCCTCAGGCAAGCTTTAACAAATCATAAATAATACATCACCACAATAAACTCTGAAATGGCATTAAAGCTAGAATATACAAAGAACTCAAAACATAAAGAAGCAACAAAACTTATGATGCAATTTATAAATTGGTTACATACAAAAGAAAAACATAAAAATGACTAAGAAATATCTGTAAAAGTATCCAATGTCTTTAGCTATTAAGAAAATGAAAATTAAAACTACTTTAAGATATCATCTCGCCCCAATCGGAATGACCAAGCTCAAGAAAACAAGCAACAATAAGTGTTGCCAATGCTTATAGCTAATTGTAAGAGCCTAAGTTCATCTGTTAATAATAGCACCTGCAACTTATTAAACAGAAAATAACAGAAGACTACAGACACTAAATGACAACTGGTATGGACTGATGGTTCCAGACCTTAATGCCCATTTTGCTACTACGGTGGTCATCACCCAGCCCTTAGCAATACCAACAAAGATTTTAAGTAGTTCACATCTTCGTGCTTGATCCGTTCCAGATTTCACAATCTTTTGATCTTTATTGATTTATTCAGAAACATGTTGTTAATGAAACTCTGCTAAAATATCTTTGAAAGAAAAAAGGTATATATGTCCCAATGCTAAGTGCCTATGTGACAGCAACTGATGGCACTGGGCCCTTGCCTGCAGTCAGTGCCACTGATTAAAGGAAGGCATCATTTTCCATGGTCTCTCTGGCCACCTGTTCTAGAAAGGATTAACTTTAAGGCTAGAAAATGAGAATTCATAAGTAACACTCTCCATGCAAACCTTTTCATTGACTGACTCAAATACACATTTTAAGAATTCTCCCCAACTTTGGCCTTACCTTCTCAAGCATCTGACTGTGGACCAGGAACTCCCTATTTGGCTTGGACTTTTAACTTCAAAATATGTTTTCTATGTCACAAAGCTCCCATTATCATGAAAAATAATAATATCACTTCCAATGGGCACCTAAGGCTTTCTAAGTTTGCCAGTTTGGATCACAAATCTGTTTAAATTGCATGTCAATGAATTCCTCCTCCTTACAATTTCTTATAAAGAAATCCCATAGCAGAAATGAAGCTACATCCTAAAACCCCTCAAAACATGGTGGAGCCAATAACTTAGAATCTAACATTTTGTAATTTCTGAAGGAAAGAAATCACCAATTCATCATGAGCTACATTTTAACTCAAATTGAATTTTATTGTGATTTACTGCATTTATTTTGGTTACTAACTATAATTTAAAAAATCAGCTTTGTGCTTAAGTTATGCATGTAAACATGCAAATTACTTGCATATATTGACATTATTATATTTACCAGATAGGAAGACTAACAAACGTATATCCTATATGGAGCAGAAATTGTAAATTAGTCACGTAAGCTAATCTTTTTTTCATTTTAATCATAGGGACAATAATGCCTTATAAGAGAGAAAACAAATTAAACTATTTTATTGCTGTAATAAGGACTTTTACAGAAAAGACTGAAATAAGAAAATGGTCATCTATCTTTCAGTATGATTTATAATTTCATATCTCACTAATTTTATGTGTCAACATGCTGTTTGAGTTATGGATGAATTCTGAGTTTATCGAGACCTTAAACATCAATTAATATCTCCTACTTTGCAATTTATCAGTCTTGGATGCACTTATTATCTAAAATCTGTATTCTACAAAATTCACATGGGGTTACCAGAAAAAAACTCAAGATAAATATTTCTTCAATTCACTCTTTAAAATAAACCTATGATTATCCGGGTTAAAAAAAAAATCAATGAGATTTCATGTTAATTCTTTTTCCCACAGGATCTAGTAAATATGTATTTCCACTGAGGTAAAATGATAGGTGAATGTCATCAAAAACTAGAATAACTCTTTCTACAAATATACACATTTCAGTGGATTATTTCAACAACACAAAAGTTTCTCTTGTTCAAATTTAATATGCACTCAGGAAGGCGCCATACATAATTTATAATGGCTAGAAAAACAAACTTTATTTTATACCAGAATGAGACACAATTACAAAGAAATAAGCCTAGCTCATTTTACTGATGTTGCTATCACAAATAAATGGCATAACAGGGCTGGTCATTAGTGCCAGAACTCAGATCCATCTACCTTGAAAACCAGCTGCATTTCGAGATATTAGCAGCTTTAATGTTGAACTGGATGTCTGAAGCACCTGCTGCAAATCTTGCCGAGCTGCAATCTGGTACCTCTCCTCCATCTTCCTGGTACAGCATGTTGGGTTTTTGGACACACAAACCTGAAGATCAGGTCCTAGAAAACAAATGGTATTTTCCACAATGACTATCAGTCCATTTAAGAAACATAACAGGGCAAACATTATGACCAATCCTGCAGGCAAGAGGTTTGTGTATAGTGTAGGAAACTGAATCTCCACTGCATTTGCTATCAGAAATCTGCCTATCATCGTACATTGAGTCCTGTATTCTTGGGATGGCTAAAGATTCATACCATATTGTTCCATAAAGGTATTCCTCTTTGAACTAAACATTTGAGCAAACAGTTGATAGTTTAGACTATCCAGATTTTACAAAAAGTTCACTGCAAGTTTGTTTTAATTGTCTTCTCATGGTTTTTCTTTTTGACAGATAGTGTTCAGAGCACCCACATTTAGTGTTGCACTATTATTACTGAAAGGAACAAGTATAAAATATGTTCATATGAATACATATGCACACATATATGCATTGTGCTGATGTAACAGCTGCCTTTTGTTTTGTTTTGTTTTTTGTTTTTTTGTTTGTTTGTTTTTTGAGACAGGGTTTCTCTATATTCCTTTGGAGCCTATCCTGGAACTCGCTCTGTAGACCAGGCTGGCCTTGAACTCACAGAGATCCACTGGCTTCTGTTCCCAAGTGCTGGGATTAAAGGCGAGCGCCACCAATGTCTGGCTATAACAGCTGCCTTTCAAGCCCTTCCTGCACACTCTCTGCAGGTTCTTTATTAAAGTTGTTCTTGAAAAAGCCAAAATATGCTAATTCTCTATTCTTTCTGCCAGCATGTGATACCAACAACTCTAACAAAATTGACTTTAGTTTTCTGAACTTAAACAACAAATGACATTATTTGAGCATTTTACGAAGCTAAGAAGCATCAAATATTTACAGACATCTCAGTAGGTAATCAGTTGGCATTCTTTAATTTATCTTACCTAAAGATATACAAAAGCAAATTCAATTTCAAATAGTAAAGTTGATTGGAAGAAGGCAAAAGCTCTCTTCTCAGATTTTTTTTTTTCCTAAATGGAAGAATTGGGGGATTAGCATTCAGGAAAAAAACAAAAACAAAAACACGATAATAAATAGGAAAAAGAAGCAACAAATATTGGAGCACATAAACCTATTTGGTGTAACTAGGAAGAGTTTCAAAGTAACAATAGTAGATTATTACAAACATGACTCCAGAATGCAACACTGTTTTCTCGCTCACACCCTCATGCTTGGCCTAGAAAGCCAACCTGAACCACACACCACCGTGTGCCTGAATAAGAATGGCCCTTACAGGCTCATGTACTTGCCAGGTAGTGATACTCAAATAGTAGCACTATTTGGAAGAATTAAAAGGATTAGGAGGTGTGGCCTTGTTGGGAGAATGTGTCACTCCCCTTTTCTCAGCCGATGGATCATGACAGAGCTCTCAGCTACAGCTACAGCACCTGCCACCAAGCTCCCACCCTGACGGTAGAGGAGTAACCTCTAAAACTGGAAGCAAACCCTTATCTTCCCAGAGGACATCTCATAACCTCTCAGGAAGCTCAAGTCCCCATAGCTATAAGGAGACATAGCTCTCTCTAAAGCAATTATCATGTCAAGGTTTTGTGTTCTTTGATGTGATACCTAATTAATTAGCTCTCCCACTAATACTGAAAAGCCCAAGTGGATCATTTTGCACTCATCAATTACGCCAGTGACCTAGGACATTGCCCAGTAGATCATAAACAGTCAATAACATAGACGCATTGCATCCTCTAATCCTTACTTCAACTTTACTGACACATTTCATGTACAAAGAAACAGAGTTCAAAAGTGGCTTCAGACTTCATTGTTTGAAGTTGAGAATGTAGCCCAGTGGTTGAATGTTTGCCTGGTACATGCTAGGCCCTGGTTCAATGCCCAGCACCTCAAAAAAAAAAAATGTTCCTTTTACATTAGTTGCATAGGGCATCACACACCTGGCTCAGGAGATAAAGACAGAAGGATGAAAATGCAAAGTCAGCCTGGGCTACAAGTATGCTCTAGGATAAGCTGGACTACATAGTGAAATCCTATCTCAGAAAAAGGATGGAGGAAAGAAGGAAGGAGGGAAGGAGGGAGGGATGGAGGGAGGGAAGAAGGAAGGAAGAAAGGAACCCAATTGTGCAGTGTCATGCACCAATAGACCACAAAACGGTGCAGCTGAAATGTGGAAACAGGCAAGTTGATTTGCAAATCATAATCACCACCATTATTCTCCAAGAGGGAAAGCAAGTCTTAAACCTGTAATAAGTTAGTTTATGACCATAACTGGCCATTTCCTCTCCCTACTTAGAAAGGAGGCATCTGGTTTGGAAAGCTTCAAAATAATAAATTTAAGGTTAGGAACTATCAAATGAGATGTATTCAAAATAAAGCAGTCTAAAATATAGTTATAGTGCAGTCATTTGCCACCTTGCCCATTTTTAAATGATGGAAACTACAGTTAGAAAGATGCTACAAATTGTTCCCACTGCTGTTCTAAGCAGGTAGTAGGGAATCCCCTACTAGCATCTCAGAGTAAACACGACACCCTTGATCTCCGTGGATATGTACTCCTTGTTAATGAATGTCTGCTATGACTGAAGCTTTCACTTACAATCTTGAAATTTTATAATGGTAGCACAAAACTAAATTACAAGTCAATCTGACCTATGGTACCACAACTCAAAGGGCACCTTCTTTTTAATCACTATCATCTACCAGGTATGTTTAAATGACTTAAATGACCAATGCAGGCAAAAAAAAAAAAAAAAAGAGGATGATTTTTAAAAGAACCTCTCCCTTTATTCTTATGCCTGTGCAAAGAAAGACAAGATTCTAAACTAAACAAAACCCTCAGGGAAAAGATCAGACAGTCCCTGTTCACAGCATTAAGTACAAAGGACAAGATACGATGCTTGCTGATAACTGCAGTTCTCCTATTGTAAATAAAGCAAGCATTGTGAGAAAGCAAAGCCAAAGAGAACACAAAGATACACTACAGGAAAAAGGAAGTCCCTTTCTATCCTTCTTTCTAAGATATTAAAGCCTGGCTTCAAGGAACGTGGCATAATCCCAACACACTCTGGAACAGCAAGACAGCCCTGGCTGCAAAGCAGGTGTTGCGTTCCCGAACAATAAATGCGCACTCTGCAGGGAAAGCTAACAACACAACAAAATTAAAAATAAAATAGTAAGCACTTCACAGAAGGAATCATCAGCCAGGATCTCTCTGTGTTCTCATCCAGAAGCAGCAGGATTGGTTAATTCCTGTCTGTTCCCAACTTAAAACACTCACAGCCAGCAGCCTGCCAAAGTATTTATTTATTATGTTAAAACAAAAGCACAATGAGGCATTGTGCTAAGGCAGTGATGGTAAGAGAATGGTTTTTCACTCTTTCTGTATCCTCATATATAACCAGAAAAATTCCTTAAAAATTAATGAAAAACAAAAAAGAAAAAGACAAAACAAAAATCCTCACAACACACTGTATAATAGGACATCTCCAAAGCCTTAAACTACAAACTAGAAAGAAAAAGCTATTCACAGCAAGATCTTTACAGTACATAAGGGAGGAAGGGAGGGAGGGAGGGAAGAAGGGAGGGAGGGAGGGAGGAAGAGAGGTTCACAAATGGGTAGGATCAATGATAACTTTCTTCCAACCAGTGGTATGCATTAACACCTATCAGCACTATGAAAGTTAGCTATTAAGGATAGAGAACTCAGGTCAGTGCCAGCTTGACTTCTGCATGTCCTGTTACACCAGTAGGTGGTATGTTCAACAATAAGGTCTTACCATCAAGTTCTACATGCTAACTAAATATTGCATGTAATATGTCCTAACAAGACATGAGTTTTATAGGAAAGAGGTCATGTTACCAACTATGCAATGGATACCGTGAAAGTCGTTCTGAGGAAATTCAGTGAAGGATGAAGATATGCTCTACACGGATGAGCCTTTATTTTCTCAAGTTCAGTGCAGTCTATATTTCTGATGCAGGAGAAGTCTGAATTTCACCTGAAATGGATATAATGATTCAGCTAACCCTGTCAGTTGTAAGCATATAGAAGGAAAAACAAACTCAGTTTCTGCATTTTCAATGGCTTCAACTTCAGTTTGATCATTTTTTTATACAACTATATTCAGTTGACTGTCACAGACATGAGCCAAAAATTCAAAAATATAATACATTTATATATTTGATACCACTTAAATAACCTGACTTGAGAATGGGTGTGAGAGCCCCTTTAGGGAAAGACGGACAGATCAGAGCAGTCCTCACCCCACAAACTCTGAAAGGGCTCTTTCGGATGACAAACCTCAACTTGGTTGAAAAACTTTCAGAAGGAGACTCAAAATGTAAGTGAGCCAGGAGAAATAGAAGGATGCTCAGGCAAGTTTCCAACTAGCTGCCCACCAGCCACACATGGCATGGAAAACTAAAAATGTTCTAGATGGTGAACTTCGTAGAGTTAATGGCCTGTCACACTGTCAGTTGGGCAGTCTAATTAGCAACTCAAGGAGAAAATCAGCTAAGGGCATGCCACACCACTGAACTTCCTACCTCCCTTCCCTTTCTGCTTCCTTTCTTTTTCAATTCTGACTTTTAAGACACGGCATCACCACAGAGCTCAGGCTGACCTAGAGTTCGCCAATGATCTAGACTGCTCTCAACCGATGGCGAGCCTCCTACTTCTGTCTCCCAAGTCTAGCGTTGCTGACGCGTACCACTGTGTCTGTCCAAGTAGTCATTTTTTAAAGTCTTACACAAGAACAATAGAAAAGAACGTTCTTTAAAATTAGAAAATCTATTTTGAACCTGTCCTGAAGCAAATATGCAAACAACAACAACAAAACCTAAACAAAGTAACAAAAATGAATGGCTGAAAACGCTGTGTGGTATATCACTATTGTTCAGTGGGTTCTGTAGCATCACGACTAAGAGACTGATCTGATTTGGGGGAGGGGACACCCCTTCTGCAGCATGTCTGTTGTGGGCTGTGGCTGTGTGTGAGATTTGACATCAATGTTTTCTGTG